AGGGGGGGGGGGGGGACTGTGATGATGGTAATAGAATCCACTCAAACGGAGATTTTCTAGTTTAATATCAACGGAGACCGATACCCAATGGAGAATTTGCAGGTGTCTGAAATTTAAGTGGACGCTACCAAATGAGCTGAACACGAGGATACCCTCGGCTCATAAATTGAACAATTATTGGAAGAGACAAGACAAAATAACCCAATCTGCTAAAATACATCGACGGTGCAAGTCGGCAATCACATAACTCATTTGCGGTGTCTGAAAATCTCCGCAACTATGTTATTTTTTTAAAGGAGAACAAATGGACATTATTCCTTGAAGTTTTTGCAGAATTTTCCTCGCACATAGAAGAAAAATCACGGAAGTTTTAAAGAATTACCGTTGAGTAGTTTTCCGTTTAAAAAATAAAGTATGAAAGGAAGTCTGCGACGTCGCAAACCGAGTTATGTGATTGCCGACTTTCACCGTCGACATGTGTTTAAATGGGAAATGCCGCCAGATGACGTCACTACAAGGCGGCGCATTTTCTCACTTTTTAATCTATTTGTATACCATTTCCATAACAGAAAAAATGTATAAAAAATTCTGCTAAGTAAATCAGCTCTTTCGGCACTTTCAGATGAAGCAATAAAAAAGCGTGCGAATTCTCCATTACTTTCGTGACCGCTCGTTTAAGTCTCTCTTGCCGATAGTAACAAACGGGATGGAACTTGATGAGTTTGAGTGTTTGTAGTAGTTTGATGATCCACCCTGANGGGGGGGGGGGGGGGGGTGTTGGAGAGGACGGGTCAGATTTCTTTGGGGCAGCATCCGAAAGCATTAGGTGAGTTGAAAAAGACGTTCGTCCATTTTTTTTTCTCTTGTTCGATGACCGCAAGCGGGAGAAAAATTCGGCGGTGCTGAAACTTCTCGACCGCTGAGCCGCGGTTGGTCGCATGCAAAAATGGCGAGGCCCCCCGAACGGCAAGACCGGCGCGAGATATAATAAAATTGTACTGAAAATCGCGTCTTTCTTTCAAAATTGCATTCTGTCAGACCACCGGACAAGGTACAGTGCAATTATACAAGTTGGCAACACTGCTTGTCCTCCATTTAAATCCTTTAAAAATATCGATATAGGTGAGGCAAGCTGCCTCACCTAGTCGATTGTTTTACATACGTTTAAATGAAGAAAAAACAGTGTTGCCAACTTGTAAAATCGCCACTGGCAGGGTATAAACCAAGCACTATAGAACAAGTTTTCGGTCAAAATTCAACGTAGAGCACATTAAATACATCAAAAACTTCCAAAATCAGCTTATACGTCAGAGACACAAGCTTGTAGACCCTTAACAGAAAATTCCAACTTCCCGCTAAAACTCAATCAGGCCAAATTAGCCATGCCTGCCTAATTAGACTATCTGCTGTGTTACGGAAGAGAGCGGGTGTATTCTGGGATGAGCCTTGAGGCACATAAGGTATGTGCTAACTGTGGCTCATCGAAGAAATGCACTTACGGCTTTCTTCCGTATCACGGCAGCTATGTTCATTTCATGATTTTTCCCGGAATTCCCCTGATTTTTAGGAGCTCATGATGAGAAATGGAAGTTTACTTACACTTCCCTGGTATTTTCTTTAGAAAAACTAAATAACTCTTCAGAGTTCAGAATATGAGCATCAAAAATTTTCAATTTCAGCTGATTTTTTGGCGAACATTCAAATGTTTCATTCCAAACGTGTTCCTGATGTTAATATCATCTCGTCACTGGAAGCTTCTCTATTATTATGATGATTTGAAGCTTCAAATATGTCATTCAAGAGGTATTTAATGGTGATTCAGGTGCAATAAAAAAAACCTTAATAAGAATCAATACTTAAAATTTCTACAGAATTTGAAAACGAAATGATTTTCAAGTGGTAGAAGAAGAAACTCCTGATTTCTGGAACAGATTCCCTGATTTTCCCTGATATTTTTCATTCCTGGGTGAGTCCTGCTTTTTCTTAGTCCTAGATACCATGATTGAATTCAACTTGTACATACGTTCGGCAAATAACTAGGGCTTCTTTTCACACACATTTCTTTCCTATCCTACTGAAGAGGTACCTTTACTTAATTACTGCTTCCGAATGTTGCTCATAGTCCGCGCCATGAAAAGTGGCGGGTGAGGGGCAGAGCCAGTCGACTGGTCCTGTCTGCAGTTGAAGGGTTGAAGCGCAGGTATTGGCCCGTAGTTGAGACGGGATAACGACTGGGCCTATACCTGCGCTTCAACCATTCAACGATATACTGGACCGGACAACTGACTCCGCCCCACACCCGCCACTATTCGTAGCGCAGACTATAAGTAATTATCTAAGTGACAAACAATTTGAAGAAATGCTGGAGAAGTTGAAATACTTAATGTCTAAAATGTCTATGAAAATTTCTGAAACTTTCCAAATCCGTCCTATCTTTCTATACATAACCCATGATGTATTTATGAGAAAAAAGAGCCTTGGAAACTTACCACTTTCTGCTTGCTTCCCCGCTGCCTTTTTTAGTGACAGTAGAAGCAGCCATGATTGTGACACTGTAAATGAAAGCATATCAGTATTAATTAACTACCGCAAATCCATACTTGAGTTATCTCAATATTAGAAAGTACCAGACTGATCCTAGTGTCAACAGTGCAAAATGTCTGCACAGTCAGATACTTTCAGTAAGTATAATAAAGAAACTGCTAGACTCAGACAGCTTTAGAGTGATGAAACATGGAAGAGTGTACGTTTCTATACATTTGGGCTTAAAATACAATATTTTTTCTTCCGTTCCTATTATTTTCTTGCAAAGCGTTCCCAATATGAGAAGTATAAGCACTTGACTCAGAATAAAAATATCGAGGATCTACTTCTCATGGGATTTAACAGAAACTGCCGCAGTGCTTCCCAAATTCTCTATTTGTGCTGAATTATTCCTGGGCTCATAGACGTCAAAAGAAATTGCAAAATAATAACCAATCCAGGAGCCATAACTTTGCATTCACTTGCTTGAGTCAAAATTCCAAAATTCCTGTAATTGTAGCGACTAGCTTCCAGAATTTTTTGGGTTTCTGGCAGTTTTTCCCGCCACTTAAATTCCCCGGATTTTCCCAGTTTCTTTGCTTCCTAAATAGCCCAACTTAAACTGTTGTTTATTAAACTTTTCTTTCTTGCGATGTCTTCTGTACATGTTACTAATAGAAAGGGTGTGTAGCCTGATTAAAATAATTGCAGCAAATGAAGAACATTGACATTATTATATTGGTTTCTTCACGAAAAGTTAGGTCCGACGCTCAGACGTTCCACCACTGTTGATCATGGTATAGCTAAAACCAAGCTAGTGATTGTACTATGAAGTAGGTTTTAAATTTTTCCAGGAGTTAGATAAAATGCAAAATTTAAATGCAGAAAAAGTTAACGGTGTGAGCTGAATAGAAATAAGAGCTTTCTCTTTAACTGTTAGCAAATGGAATTAGTGAGATGTTAGGTGAAGTTTACCTCAGTTACTGCAAGAAGTCATGAGGTAAATGGGGCACGTTTAGTTGAAACAAAACTTCACCAAGAGGCTACTAATGGAGAGCGAGTGAAATCGCGTTTAAAATTAAGGGAAAACCAATTTGAACGGCGAGAACTGTTTTTAAATTCCGAAACTTATCAATCCAGAGAATCCACGTTGGTTTGTAAACACCGAGCAACATCGAACACCGTCAACAGTCACCAATATTCAACAGATTGCGTTTTGTTATTGTTTTGTTTCAAGAACAGTGATAAGGAACACAATTTTACTGATTTGACGTGCTTTTTTGTCTAATTTTTTAAATTTTCTGTGCATTTCGTTAGAGGTAGTGTTCATCTGCCCATATCTCACAAATTTCTTTCAGTATCTTAAATGACAGCCTTTGTTCCAGGCTCAGCTGCTCAGCCAACCTCTGAAGTTGAACTCACTATCTCATGCAGGTATATCAGTTATTACAATCTATTATAATCGTACTTTTTAATTACATTTTTATGAATTCTTCATATGGGACTCTATTTACCTGTGAATTCATCGAAATTTAAAATCCAAGCATATCGAGTTATTCGTGATCTCAGGCGTTGCAACTTAGAACACGTGATGCAATTCTACCATAGTCCAGACCAAATTTTGCGCTCTTCCAGAGTGAAACAAAATATTTGCAGTCTCCAGGTTATTAATGGAAGTATTCCCGCAAACCAGGGTTGTGGATCTCCTGTTTAACTCTAAACGCTGTTAATTGTCATGACCTGAACTTGCGACGTATCTAAAACTAGTTCATTGTATGTTGAGACATTGTATCTTGTTTATAGCACCCTCATCAAAGCTTCCATTGGAATGCAGGTATTGAGCACCTGGAAGGCACTGATTGAAGGCCAATCAGAGGTATAAACCATCAATCTTTGCTATTGAAGTACCTTTGCAAAGTGACATGTCGATGGTGTAAGTCAGCAATCATATAACTCGGGTTGCGATGTCGCAGACTTCCTGTCATACTTTCTTTTTTAAATTGAAAACCACTCAACGGCAATTCTTTAAAACTGCCGTAATTATTCTTCTCTGTGCAAAGAAAATTCTGCAATAACTTCAAGGAATCATGTAAATTTGTTCTCCTTTAAAAAAATAACATAGAGGCGGAGATTTTCAGACACCGCAAACGAGATATGTGAATGACGACTTGCACCATCGATTTTTATGGACTCGTGCAGAGGATACGGGATGGTCAGTTGCCTAGACTAAAGTTCAATTAGGTTCTTCCCGGAATCCCGGAAGAAAGTGGAGTAGGTAACTGCCCAGTGACAGGTTTGTGGCAGGGAATGGAGGCAGAGCTCAGGAGGTTTTATTTGCCGGATGATCCAGGAGAGGATAGGTTTTGATGACCATTGGGAATGGCAGAGCACTCTAGTATACTCATGTGGCGACTTGCACATTGTGTGTGAGGCAAGAAAATTAATAGGAACTTGATGGTTATAAACTGTTGAAGTGTCACCTTGCTTGGCCATCTATTAAAGTAGATGTTGTCTATCTGGTTTCCAGACCCACAAAAACACTGCAGTGAGTAACTGCAAATATCATGTATAACTTTCTGTTTATTTAACATGATTTTAATGAAGATTGTCATCTCTCATTACATTGATTCTTAATTTCCAGGGGCTTGGAGGGCAAAGATGTTCTGTCAAAATNTAGAATTGAATCGACGTATCGACGTATCGAACAGCGACTATCGGTAGTCTCGAAAAACCCCTGTAAAATACGCACTAATACGATAAGCGGTTACATCAGATCTTATGGGAGCGCACTCACACATACAAAAAATCGCTTTTTCAAGCGATTTTTTACAAGAGAACAGAGGAAAATCTCACTAGCGATCGAGATTTTTCGAGATTTTACATTGATTAAACGGCCCAGGGTGAAAGGAAAGTTCTCTCCAGTTGATCACTGGGAGAACAATATTTGCAGTCTCCAGGTTATTAATGGAAGTATTCCTGCAAACCAGGGTTGTGGATCTCCTGTTTAACTCTAAACGTTGTTAATTGTCATGACCTGAACTTGCGACGTATCTAAAACTAGTTCTTTGTATGTTGAGACATTGTATCTTGTTCATAGCACCCTCATCAAAGCTTCCATTGGAATGCAGGTATTGAGCACCTGGAAGGCACTGATTGAAGGCCAATCAGAGGTATAAACCATCAATCTTTGCTATTGAAGTACCTTTGTAAAGTGACATGTCGATGGTGTAAATCAGCAATCATATAACTCGGGTTGCAATGTCGCAGACTTCCTGTCATACTTTCTTTTTTAAATTGAAAACCACTCAACGGCAATTCTTTAAAACTGCCGTGATTATTCTTCTCTGTGCAAAGAAAATTCTGCAATAACTTCAAGGAATGATGTAAATTTGTTCTCCTTTAAAAAAATAACATAGAGGTGGAGATTTTCAGACACCGCAAACGAGATATGTGAATGACGACTTACATAATCGATTTGTATGGACTCGTGCAGAGGATACGGGATGGTCAGTTGCCTAGACTAAAGTTCAATTAGGTTCTTCCCGGAATCCCGGAAGAAAGTGGAGTAACTGCCCAGTGACAGGTTTGTGGCAGGGAATGGAGGCAGAGCTCAGGAGGTTTTATTTGCCGGATGATCCGGGAGAGGATAGGTTTTGATGACCATTGGGAATGGCAGAGCACTCTAGTATACTCATGTGGCGACTTGCACATTGTGTGTGAGGCAAGAAAATTAATAGGAACTTGATGGTTATAAACTGTTGAAGTGTCACCTTGCTTGGCCATCTATTAAAGTAGATGTTGTCTATCTGGTTTCCAGACCCACAAAAACACTGCAGTGAGTAACTGCAAATATCATGTATAACTTTCTGTTTATTTAACATGATTTTAATGAAGATTGTCATCTCTCATTACATTGATTCTTAATTTCCAGGGGCTTGGAGGGCAAAGATGTTCTGTCAAAATCGGATCCTATGTGTGTAACATATATCCAGCCATTTGGAGATACCCATTGGGTTGAGTATCACAGAACAGAAACCATTTTAAATTCTCATGATCCAGATTTTGCTTCAAAAGTTCTTCTGAGTTATCGATTTGAAGAACAACAGCCTCTAAAATTTGAACTGTATGATGTTGACTCTGAAAGCCCACGGCTCGAGGATCATGATTTTCTCGGTTTTGTCACCTGTAATTTAGGTCAAATTATCTCCAACGGCAAGGTAAATCAACCATAAAGTATCTTGTTTCCATATTGTTCTTATTCCATGTTTGTTTCTCAAACTGGATGAACTTTGACATTGTTATCACAAGACTCACCGATCACAATCGTAAGGCAGTCTATTCTAATTTTTTTCTCTTCTGTTATTACGTTACATAGTAGTTTATTAGTACTTTGCATAGGTAACTGTATACTTTGACATTTGCCTCAGTCCCAATCATGGGGCACTTTTGTAAGTATGTAAAATAAATAAATAAATAAATTTTGCTTCAGACAAGTAGGAAAATTTCAATAATGGCTCGGAGAACATTTTTGTGAAGGATTTCTTTGTGTTGACTATTTTGTTCAAATCTCTGTTAAACTTAACGCACTAGCAAAATGCCTAAAGTCTATCGAGTTCATCCATATTATTTATAACTAATGACTTCAGTGTTTTCAGTTCACAAGGCGTTTCATGTCAAATGTGCCAAAACGTCAGGCTTTGGTCCCTAAAAGTGAGGGATGCTGCTAAATTTCTAGCTACGACATAAAACATGTCTAAGGTTCCAAAAAAATAGTAGATAGTCACTTTAATGAATTTTTGTAGCCAAATAAAATGGCTCCTAAAGGTAATACCCCCGAAAGGGAATTAAAGCAATGGATGTTTTATTTAGAAAATGTTGTTCTTATTTTGCAGGTAAAACTTCAGCTCTTGCAGAAAGGATACGATCGTGTCCATGCCTCTCAAAAAAGTTACATTTTAATCGCAGCAGAAGAGTTAGCAACTTTAAAAGATGAGGTTTACCTACAGTTCAGTGGCTACAACTTAGATAAAAAGGATTGGTTTGGGAAATCCGACCCCTTCCTTGAAATTCACAAGTCGTTGGAGTCTGGAGATTATTCTCTAGTCCACAAGACTGAGGTAAGGTATCAAAAGAATTGTCTTCGTAATTTTAAGTATGACATTTCACTCAGAGTTGCAACAGAATTTTGAAATTGAAATTCCCTGACGACATTTCCCCGATTTTCTTGTCTTGTTTTAGTAAAATTCTCTGACAGTTGGAGATATGCCAGATGGTTAAAAAGACACAATTTGAAATGATTTTCAGGCAAAATTTGTTGTTCAAAACGGCGAACTTACTCCAGAGAGCAAATAAAGGTGATTTAACAATTTTTCCCTGACATTTCCAGGATTTAAGTGATTTTTTAAAATTCCCTGACAAGTCCCAGTTTTCCTGGTAATCCCTGACGGCGGCAACCTGTTTGCAGTACGTAAGATTAGAAAGTGGTTTATACTGAGTTTTCACTTGAACCCATTTTGTCACAGTGCAGCTTGAATCCTAAGGACACAGCAAAGTATTGGGAGACAAAGGAGGGACTTTATGTTTAGTTTTCTATGCTGGTCAGAAGGAGCCATCAGCATCCGATTTATGCTCATGAAAATCACTGTTGTGTTTATCATGTTTACACTTAGATTTAAAAAACTGGAGACTTTTTATTTTCAATAATGATTTTTGCTCTAGTTTCCATAAAATTATGTGCATTAACATTTTGTACTATTTTTAGGTCATCAAGTGTACCCTGAATCCTAAATGGCAAAGATTTTCTCTGCCGGTTCGAACTCTCTGCAATGGTGACTATCATCGAAATCTGAAATTTGTCTGTTATGACTGGAATGCAAGTGGCTCTCATAGTTTGATCGGAGAGTTTTATGCAACTCTCCAACAACTAAGTGAGGGACCATCTTCAAAAACTCGTTTTAAATGCATCCATCCGGAGAAAAGGGTAAAACTCATACACGTATTTGTACAAAAATTTCTTAATGGTCAACAAACCATCACTTAAAAAATAATCAATCCATCTCGAGAAAATAAGGATGTTGTAAGATCTGCCTTGAAAATAGGTTTTTTTAGGGTATATTCTTGCAATGTAATGTACGTTTCTAAATTTTAAGAAGTTCAAACCTGCTTTTTTAGCTGAGAAAAAGAGGCTCAGTGGTGAAGTCCTAAAATGAATGTATCTTATTGGCGTGAAGTTTATGACTGCATATGAGGCGATTAATCATAGTTTCAATTACCTTAAATCCAATGCAACATGGCTTCCGTACAATTCATATCACGAATGAACGATTTCATGTTAGAAAAATACCAAAATTCACGTCAAACAGGGAAACATGCATGCATGCTCATGAAACCTAACTCCTTGTTACAATTCAAACCTAATTGAAATGATACAACCTGTTTTAAAAACAGTTGGAAACCCAAAAAATTGTCACAAAATGGACAATAAAATGCTATTCCATATTTTCAGAATTGAAATGTAATCTTATAGTTATTTTTATATTAATATCTGCTTGACTATTTTGAAAGTAAGTAGCCTAACGTGCTTTGTTATTTTATCAAGGAATGGAATGAAGTAGCTTATGAATACGTGAAAACTGTCAAGTTTTTGTGAAATTAGCTCTTTTTCTCTCTGGAAACACCTAATCAGTAAAGGCAAATCATTTTCCCCGGACATTAGTGCATATAATTTTGTTGTCGTGTTTACATTTTTCAGGTTTTGTTTTTTTCAAGAAAAAGAAGGTGGAGAGGTAAAAATATCAGGGCAAGGATGGGAAACATTTTAAGGAAAATATAATCGCCTTAAAATTGCAGAGAACCAAAAAAATGTAAATCTTTAGAAGTTTTGATCCATTAAATTACGAAAAGTGAAAAAAATTCAATATGTTTTTGAAAATTGAAAGAGGTATCCATTATCAGAGAAAGAAAATAGTTAAGTTAAAATGATTTCTTTCCAATTAATCAATTTAGTATAATTTTTACCATGTATACTAAAACAAATATTTGTAATTTTTAGATCTATTTCATATTTTACCTCTGATTTCATTAAAAATAAATTAGGGAATATGCAGCCTATACTTTTATCGTTTTTAACAACAAGTTTTGTCGATTTACATAATATTTTGCTTTACACTCATTTCAGTTAAAAAAAAATTATTCTGGTTCCGGCGAAATTGCTCTCGACTTTTTCCAAGTAAAGAAAATTCATTCATTTATGGACTATGTCAGAGGAGGGACTCAGCTGCATTGCACAATAGCAATAGACTTCACAGGTGAGGAAACTGTTAGTAACTTACCGGGCGCAAGCTCGTTTGCTTTTTCATCAAAAAAACAATTTGTATAAATCCCATCTCTCTGCTCTTATCATCAGCAGGATCAATGGGTCAATTGCGCTGGGCACAGAATCGTGTTTTGATGCTTGATTCTTGTAGCTGAGCAAAGAATAATTGGATCTGTCCAAACAGCAACTTTCTATGTTGAATATTAACTGAGTAATCACGCTTTGAAAACTTCGGTTCATGACGTCATCCAACAAGGTTGTGACACTCTTGGTACCTTCCACCTTGCCTTCATCAGTTAGGGTGACACACATTTGCACTGATTACTCAACGTAAAATCTGGATGAAAGCAAGATGGAAGAAACCAATGGTGTCACAACTGCTGTGGATGCTATCATAAACGGAATTTTTCAAAGCGCAATACCTAGGTTAATATTGAACTTAGAGAGCTGCTGTTTCGACGGATCTTATTATTTTTAGTTGATCAACAAGAATCAAGCATCAAAACACAATTCTGTAACCAGTGCACCTGACCCACTGAGTCTGGTTACAAGTTCCATAAAGTGTTCATAATTTTTTGAGACTTTCAGTTTTTAGCCATTTGAAACGATCAATTATTTGGAAATACTATGTATTGTATCATAAGAATTTATTTATAAAATTGGCATCATTTACAACTGGGAAAAAATTATTCTCTTAAAATGCTTTTTTTAAAGTAAATTCAGGTTTTAAAGTTTTGGACGACTCCTATTGACTCTTAATTTAGAAGAGGAGCCTTGGGGTCTTTAATAACGATTCTTGCATGTTGAAAATACTAAGTTTCTATTTAAATGTACACTAAACCTCGGATCATCCAAATAATGTGGCAGTCAGCCACCTCTAATCACAAAAAGATTGGATAATTCAGAAAATGTCCTAAAAATGCGATGTGTGTATTTTTTTACACGCAGGTGCAAAACCAAAAGAGGCCTCTTTTCCGATTAAATGATAAATGCACCTAAAGGACCACTAGACAAGGTCTGAGGCAGAGGAAAACGTCACATATTTTCTCTTCAAAATCCCACTTAGAAAACAATTCACCAACGCCAAGTTTTGAAATCAACCCCTGAATGAGATATTAACAAGTCTTTTAGACACAGATCAAATGGAAATTCGACTATACAAATGACGTCATTTGTATTTTTGCCATCGAACCAATATTGATAGAAAACACTTATATTTTGTTCAGGAGTTTTTTTCAGACTCACCATTGTGTGGTTTGTTTTCCTTGTAGAATTTTGAGGAGAAAACATGCAGTGTTATGCTTTAATTCAAACATCATACCTTGTCTAGAGGCCCATCGTAAAAGACCAGCTGACTTTGAAAAATTTTGAATAGAGAATTGAATTTGAATCTTTGTCGCCAGAATGAATCTTCTCCTTTAAATCAGCAGAAAAAAAGTGACCAGAATTGTCAGAACAAAAGCCAGCAGCAATGTCAAAGTTGCCATAACCTTTGATTTTTTATTTGATTGACTTTCCAATTTGATTTTTTTTCTTTTAGATTTTTTTTCAGATTTTTTCCATTTGCCCATTTCCTCTTTTAAAAAATGAACTGAGGATTTACTTGTAAGTGAAATGTAAGCTGTGTCTATCGTAGTAAACTATTACGATACTTTTCTCTCTCTTACCTCTTTGAATGGTGATTATTTTGCTATCTATTTTTTTGCACATATGTATTTGTTAATGGGTTTGCCCATAAAAGTGTAAAATAAATAAAGAAAGAAATGATTCTGGTATCATGACATGCGTCATAGTAAAAATACGAGTAATAAAATAACACAATTTCTCCTCATTCACTCACTTAGCAACTGATCTACTTTTGACAGCAATTTTATGTTTGTATACCCTTCATTAAGGCACAACTTGATTCATTTTTATTTAATTATTCAATCAGAAGTATTTCTAATTCTAAGTTGATTCTAAAACTAATGTGCCTTTTATCTTCAGGTTCGAATGGTAACCCTGCTCATCCATCGTCCTTGCACTATGTGTGCGATGGATTCGCCAACTGTTACGAGCAAGCTATCAGCTCCGTAGTCTCGATCATTCAAGACTATGACTCAGATAAAATGTTCCCTGTCTTGGGATTTGGTGCAAGGCTCCCACCTCATGGTGTTGTCTCTCACGAGTTCTTTGTGAATATGCACCCGTCAAATCCTTACTGCGAAGGAGTCAATGGTAAGTTTTTCCACTACCCAAGTAGCAGTGATCGTGATGCAAAGCGATTTTATTGGTTAGTTATCATGATTATGTAGGTGGCAATCAAATGGCTACACATCACAATTTTTATCTTGATAATCTCGCGATAAATTTCCGGGGGATAAGATCAAGGATAATCGCTTGGATGTTGATGATTCTAGCGATTTTGATTTTATCATCGATAAAATCTCATTATATCGCTATTTTTCTGTTGAAAAATTTTTCTTGGGTATGCATGAAGTCTGATGCTGCCATACCACTGAATAGAGTAGTATGAACAAAAATGAAGTTATGAAAAACTTACAGCTACCACTTTCTGTTAAAGAAAAAGGTGACACTCATAGCTTTTTCTTTTAATAAAATTATCAATAATCATAGACTTGAAAATTGTTAGAATAAATGAAAATCAGCAAATTTTTCCCTCTATTATGAAAATAAGGGATTTATTTAGGTTTTATTATCGAGGATAATTGTATGTAGCGCCTTTTGCTTGTTTTCAGAGGTTAATTCTCAACATGATAACACATAAATTTCATAACAAGATAGCATTTTGTGCTGCTCTCTCTCTTCTCTTGTATGGTTAATTGCACTTCCTGCTACCTTTTCGAAGATAAAAAGGCATTTCCTTGCACCTGCTTACCACTATCCTACAACTATCATTCTTTTCCAAAGGGATGCATTTTGCTATTTTAGCCTCCAACCAATTCTCTAAATATTATTTTTAAGTGAATCGAATCTAGAAGAAAATTTAATTTTGAAAAACTCGTTGCTACTGCCAATGGTCTTTTTAGTAGGCAGCAGTCTGTCTCACCATGGCATCTTTAAATTTTACAAAATAATCACAAGAATCATGTACAATATTGTCACTTTTTTGTAGAAAAGTTGTAGAGACTTGAAATTATTTTATTAGTACCAACACAGTTTTATGCAGTATTGGGTGATAAAGTATGATGTCGCAACTCTATCCAATGTCATCTATTTTAATGTTAATCTTGCAAGATTCCTATCTTTCATTTAAACTCAATATGTATGCCTGCAAGGAGAGTGCACACAATAGGGGCTAGTATCTTATTAGTTTTTTTAAAAGGTTTTGGAGAAAAAAGGGAAGGGAAAGAGTAACTAAAGTTCTGTTTTTGCTTTTGCCCTTAGGTACTTTTTCATTGAAGCGACCGTATGAGATCAATGTAAAATAGCCATATTTTTATTTTCCAATTTTTTTGAATATTTTGCTTATGTTCATACGAAGAACTGTAGGTATACAGTTCGGGCCACTTTTTAGTGTTTTTTTTTTTTCATTTATACCTACACACAGTTTGGGGATATGTGTTTCTCCCGTTTGGGAGCGGGCGGTTGCGTCTAAATGTGTTCGCATCTCCAACCATCCTGATAATCATTTTTTCGGGTTTTCCTTGTTTTGTTATGAGAGTTGTTCAGCAGCAACGGTAGATGGCGCGAGAATCACACTTTTGTGTCATGCCTTGGGTCATATCCATGACGGCGTTTTAATACTGTCTTGGATTTTGCGGCATGATAAGTTGGGTTCACTGCCGAGTGTGATCTGCTGATGGGGCCTAAAAAGGCCCAAACCGGTATAGATCTCTTGGCGTGACTCCAACTAAATATTCCAATGCAAAATGCCTGAGCTGAACACTCTCCCCCCTCAGTTTTGTACTGGTACGCATTAGAGTTCAAAAAATTTAATTTTGACTCTAATTTTAATTTTTGGAACTTCTTGGCTGTGTTTTCCCCGCGAAATGGTGTGGACCCAGCACCATTTCTCCATTTTGTTACATACGAAGAAACTCATGATTGTATGTGGTACTTTTTTATTCACAGGAGTTCTTCAAGCATACAAGAATTGTATACGGCAGGTTCAACTGTATGGACCAACTAATTTCTCCCCCGTGATCAATCACGTCGCCAAATTTGCTCAGCAGCATTCGGATGGTTCCAGTTATTTCATTTTACTCATTTTAACTGATGGTGTCATTACAGATATGCCACAAACGACTGAGGTAAGTGTAAACTCAGACAAAAATTGTTTTGTTACCGTTTAGTCACTTCTTTTACTTAATCTCAAGTAGCGTTTTACAATATGGAAAAATCGCGATTTTTCTAAATTAATTTGCGATTTTTTTAAGATCTTTTAGCCATGAATTCAGTAAGATCATCAACATTTCAGCAATTATCTTTGATCATGTCGCAATGTCACCTCTGAAAAATAGCATTCGATCAAATCGAAATTTTATCTCCAAGTATCAAGATTTTTGGTTCGATTATAATGCGATCGATGGCCGTTGATAAAATCGCAATGTTATCGCAAATTTCTGTAATGAAATCGCAATTTTGTATCGGATAATATTACAATAAACTGACATCGATAAAATCGCAGTACATTCTATGAACAAAGCACAACTTATCACTGCTACTTGGGATTATGGCAAGAAGTTCATTTGACATTATGCCACAAAAGTAAAACACTGAAAATTCCATTAATTATATGTAATCCTTTTGACTCTGCATTTTGATAACTATTTGGACGTGTTTCTGCCTAACGGAACTAAGTGTATTATGACATGAGCCGTGTGAGGCAATTATTCTCATGTGTCTTGGGGCTCATGTCTAACTGCACATAGTTCCGTTTGGCAGAAATACGTCCATTTTTCATTGCCTGTTGTTAAAATGGGACCAAAGCCTGTTTCTTCTTCTTTTCTTTTCCGTTTAATTAGAAAAAAATCTGTCAACAAATGCGCAGAATTTTAATCAATATCAGTAATTGCACTTTGCAAAAGATTGAAGTAATTGTTCCTAAAACTGGCAACAGTACTAGCAAACTTTAACATTGACTCTCTGGAGTTCCCTGTTTTTCATCTCAGAACTTCGAATTTTTGGGGTCAGTTTTAGAAATGTTTGCATGTTCTTCACACCCAATGCTGCAGAATTCCCCCCATCCCCAGCCGTAGTAAAGTTATCTCATTTTTTACTTGCACCTTACGGCATATTTTGCCTGACCTTGTTGTATTTAATGGTACTTCAATTTTATTCAGACCATGTCTAGCGATTCATTCTAAAAATCACCCAGCTTTGAGGTCGCAGAAAGTAAAACAAGCAGTGAACTCCAACACAATGTGTTGATAAGGCGCGTCATTAACTCGCACATATCAACCCCTTTAGTTTTCATTTACAGAGATTTCAAAATAGGCAAACAGCATAAAAAGAGAATTCACGATCCAACACTGCGAGGTCAAAGACGCACCTTGACGAGACCGTGTATTGTGAAAGTAGAAAGCTATTCGATCGAATTTAAGTTTTTTGATCTGCCTCAAGCAAAATCTTATCAGATTCTTGAAGAAAAGTGCTACGGAATAATTTAAGCGAAGAAAGGAAAAATTCTGTCGAACTCCTAGAAGATAAAGTCGATTTAAAGGTATTTTGGGGCTAAAATACCCAAATCACCGGTAGTAAAAATCCCGTTATATTATTGAAAAGAAATTGACTCGATATAAATGCAATTGCATTAAATACGTCTTGATTTTGTTATTTTAAACGTCTTTCCATGCAAAGAAGTTCAACCATGTCGTTGCTTTATTCATTCATGAATTGAAAGTAAGCAATCTACATCCCGAAAATCTACTGATTTGCCGTAAAAAATTGCAGAAACTTGATATACCAGGTCGATGCACCCACTCGTTGAATTTACCAACCAATTTAGTGAGTGCAAATGTGTAAGAATCAATATGCTATAGTCATTTTGGGTGCATTTATTTTTCATGAAACAATAATAATTTCAATCCCGAAAAACCATCAATTTTCCGTATAAAATCGAAAAAATCAAAATATGTCAACTCCCCGACGTGAAAATTAGATTCTACGTATGTAAAATGTAAATACTTATGTATCGATATGCTGAACAGAACTATGTGTGGACAGTCAGAAGCCCGCGGCAACATTAATTCAACAGAAAAACTGTAAAAATTAGATAGGATTTTAGCCGCTTTGCCCGCCTCTCCTCGCTACTTACAACAAACCGTTCTTATACTCATCTCAAAATTTTTCTCAGAGCTTAGGGTTATTATCAGCTTCCATTTAAACTCCGGTTCGATGGCCGAATCGGCTGCCAAAAAAGCAAGCCACTGTTGAGGGGTTCTATGAGAAATTCGTGATATTATCGGCTCTCAGGAAATCACCCCATGGCTAAAATTGGTGGTATAAATGTTTAAGTGCTTAAAATAATCGTATTCAAGAAACTAAGGAATTAAACTATGGAGTCAATTTCTTTTTAATAATATAACGAATTTACTACCGGTGATTTAGCTATTATAGCCCCAGAATACTTTTAAAGCGCCTTTGCGTTCCAGAATCTCGACGGAATTTTTTTTTTTTTTTTTTTGCTTAAACGATTCAAGAAACATTGTAGTTAAAAATATAAAGATTTTTCGATTTGGACGTATGAAAAATGTTTAACTCGTTCAGGCACACCGTGTATTGTATGGAGTACTGCTGTTATTCGACCGTTGTCTTCAGGTCAAAATTCTTACAAAGAAGCCCCTTGCAAGAGGCAAATTTTTTGTAATTTCTCCCAGTTTTTTCAGCGTTAGGTATATAAATGAATTGTTTGTCAAATTTTGAGGTCAATTATATTTAATTGTAATTTATACTTTCTTTTTTTCCCCTTCATTTTATTTTTCGTATCGAGGAGTCGAGGTTTTGTTGATTTCTTCGGATTTCGATTACTGTAACTTCTCTTCTATTCGGCCGATTTTTATGAATGAGGTCTCTTTTTATTTGTGTTTTAACGGAGAGTAAGGAAAAAATTGCTAAATACATGCGAAACAATTTTTTTTGAAAATTGGATGAATCCTAGCGTGACGGTGAAATGGTTAATGAAGCGTGAGTAATTGGGGTACGGGTATCGGCCGCGTTGGGACCCAAGGCCCATTGTTCTTCGTGACGCCGACGCAGTGATCAGGAGCGTGGGGACGAGAGGGCTTAGTGGACTCCTGTATGAGCCACGTTTAGCAAATGGTCTAATGAGTCTCGAGGCTCATCACAGATTGCACTTACCACTATCCTGGTGGCCCCGGCTATCAGAGCAAGGAGTACCAACTTTTGAAAAGGATAACAGTGTTGTGGAGATATGTCAAAGCAACGTTGTGAACAAAACGGAGTGAGTGAAATTCTCATTCAAGGAGTGCCGAACTGGTCAGCCATCCTCGAATCAGTTCGCTTGCTTCCGCTTATATATGCATATTTTAAATCAGCGCGCCCCATTCTAAGGTTTTTTTTAAAAAAACCAAGAAACGTAGACTCTTGGTATTCATTACACATAAACTAGCGAGCCCCAGAATGAGAAACAAATTTTAATCATTATTATTGACGGATTAGTAAACTTTTTACACGCTTTGGAAAATCTCAGAAGTTCGCGGTAGTCACTTTTCGGTAAGGAACTAGGGGACTCGGTTATTGTATCGAGGGGGGGGTCGAAACGATCGCAAAGGCGGTATACTACGTATACGCGCCAAAAAAAATGATCTTGCTTGCATCCTTTATTGCTAGTTTAAAAACCCTCTTAAGCAAATCCTCTTAACTAATAGAATTTTTTATGATCACTTTGTAATAAATTTTATCTTAAATTTATGATATTCTGTTTTGCAGGCAATTGTCAATGCCTCAGGTTTGCCCATGTCGATAATCATCGTTGGTGTTGGAAATGCAGATTTCTCAGCGATGGAGACTTTGGACGCTGATACTGTGGGTCTTAAAGCCAACGGCGTCAAAGCCTTGCGTGATATCGTTCAATTTGTTCCTTTCAATAAGTTTGTAAACACAGGTGACCCTCGCACAGCAAGGATACGTCTTGCAAAAGAAGTTCTTGCGGAAGTTCCCGGCCAGTTCATTAGCTTTATGAAAGCTAATAAAATTGAACCAAAGCCTCCTCTAAGTACAATCTCATTTCTTCCTCCTGATCCTGAGCAACTCAACACCACCCATTGAGATTTGTTTAACTCATATCATTCATCATTCTACTCCTTTTGCCATTTGCACTCTTAACTTTAGTGTTCAGTTTGAATACGGGCCGCTAGCTTATAAAGTTGCAAAGCTAACTCGTTAAAGCATGCATTTTTTGAGCATTTTGTGTTAAATTATATCCATGCAAATATTTTTACTCTTGTGAGCATATCATAGATTGAACTAAAAATTGATTACCGATCATAGAGAAATAGAAATAGAGCCAGAGAGACCAACCGCTGCACCTGTCCGTAAAACTTGTTATGCATATATTTCAAAGCCAATAATTGGTGCTACTGAAATGCAGAGGGAATACATAAGAGACAAACCAGACAAGCAGATTATGAACTATCTCAAAAAAATTGGAAGTTTTTTCATTTTTAGAAAGAATATCTCAAAAATAAAACAAATCACCTTTTGATCAAAGTAAAATAGCATTTAATGCACGGAGCTGGAGCTAACTTTTGCTAGAGCTGAAAGGAGCTATACTTTATTCATCAGATTGCTTAAAAATCATGGTGATTGAATTAGCAAAGTACATATATGCGTCACTCTTCACCAACAGGAAATGTGCGCCTCTTGGAGCTCTCCACTTCTTAAAAAATCCACCCCTCTGATATGCTCTCAAGTTTTGTCATGGAAAATTATTTTACACTTATCTTCCTATTTTTCTATTCCTTCTCATTTTATTTAATAAATAAACCATTTTATCAGGTGTCAATAGTGAAACTAGAAAAAAATTTATCTCCGTTCGCTGATTGAAAATTGCTGGCCTTACTATAAATTTGAATGGAAAGCTAAGTAATATCATTCCGTATGATTCTTGTATGTCAATCAGTGTATGAAGAATATCCCGTTACAATTTTGAAGCAATGAAATTTACTTATATTCTTTGAAAGCAAAACAAATGGGAAAGGAGGTAATTTGAAAAACGGCGATCAAATTTTTTTTTTTTTTTTCTAGTTTCAAGGCTGATATGCACTGTAAGTATGTCCATGGCCAAAATAAAAAAAAATTGTATCTCGATTGCAATGTAGGTTGCCCCCAATATTTGATTTTCTTACAGGGAAACTAACCAACACTTTCATTGTAATTTTATATTTTTCGTCACTCAATTTTCTTCTCTCATTCTAAAGAAATCACTTGAAATTGCAACGACAAAGTTTTGGTTAGTTTTTCTAGAAGATAATAGAGCATAATTGGAGATTTAAAAAAATTGCAATCGAGTATTGAGTTATGAATTTTATGCTTTTAGTCATTGATATGATCTTCATTGCGATATTTTGCTGTCTATTGAAAAGTACCTACCTAATCATTTCAAACAAGGGCCCAGATCAATCTTTTGTACCTTATTCCCGTCATCTAGGACGATGGACCTTAGCGCTGTCTAAACTTATGAATGAGTGAACGTATGCTTGTGCGAGTGATTAGGGGGTGAGTGCTCATTTTCTTACTTTTGAATGGTAGTATGATTTTTTGTCTCTCTTTATCTTAGCCATCTTTTTACTTTTCTAACTTTTTATTCTGCTTTGGAAACAAAGCTGTTCAAGTTTTTCTCAATCAGGTTCATGTGTTCAGATTTCTAATGTCGACAAGATAATGTCAATCTCATAGTTAATGATTTAGTCTCTTTGAATGTAAAATAGAACGCTGTGAAGTCAATCAAGTCTGCGTGATATTGAGTTCATACACCTTGCTTGGTTATTTGAGTGAATTTTCAAGTATCCCACTGACCAATCAAAATACTCCGTATTAAGAAGAGATTAATGTCTTATAGTCTCTTTGTCTGGCTGAGTGTTCACAATTTTGTGGCTCCTACATGATTGATCCTGTTTGGGAGACAATCTGGCTTTTTTGCGCTGACTTAGCTTCTGCATCAATGCTGGAATTAAAATCTTCTGTACCTGTCATTTTTATGTGCTTTTGTTTGTTTGTCTGCACCTCATGGCTGTCCTGCAATATTTTCTCACCGACCACTAACTTTCTTGTGCAAAATGTTTTCAAAAGATTGACATAAATTTTTTGGCAAACCTTATTAATCTACTGTTGGCTAATCATCTACTTTCCTGTAATGAACGTATCAATTAACAAGACGTTCAGTGTCTCCCTCCCCAATTTCTTCAGAGCTTCCCTGTTACTTCTCTGGCAAAATGTAATCTGGCTGTGAGAGTTGTGTCATAATTGGACTTCTTTTTGCAATTAGGAACTATAAATTCCGGCCCAGTTTAAAAACAACGTATGTGCCATTAGTTTCTCTATTCACATAAGTGTTTCCTCAGATGAACCAGAATTTATAGTTCCAAATTGCAACATGCAGTCCAATCAGCTGTTTTACTCTATCCAAGTTTTGAACAATAACTCAATCGACAAATGTCACTTACAGGTGACAGCCACATTGCCGATGTGCTTGTAAGAAGATTCGACTCCAATTCTAGTCTCATTCTCAAGAATTTTAGTTCTCTTGTCACCCCAAATACGTAGGGCTGTCTTGCAAATTTTTATGAATATTTTTTACTTGTACAAGAGGTAAAGTAACGACATTGGTCAAAATGCAAAATTCCTACATTGCCATATAAGTAGCAGAGCTATTGCCTTTGTAAAAATAACATGGAAGGTGTCAACTCTTGTATCTTGGCAGTATGGTTTTCTCTTATTTCTTCATCATAAGTACGTTTTTTTGATAAATGGTGTTATCATTTGAGTTATTGAACACTTAGATGATACCTCTATTAAATTGAATTGTTTAATTTTGGTGTTAAGGCCAATGGTGTTATTATCTTTAGCCATATGGATGTAATCCAAGAACCGTATGTAGACTACATTTTTCAATCAGGAACTATAATTTCTGGTTCAGTTTGGAAACAACGTATATACCATTAGTTTACCAATGCACACAAATGTCTTTGCAGATAAGCCAGAAATTATAGTTCCAAATTTCAAAATACAGTCCATTTCACTTTCGTTCGGTGTTGTCCCAGTGACAAAAAACATTTTAATTATCGACTTGATGTGTTATATTAAGGTGAACCATTAAAATATACTATAAATATTAAAGAAGGATTAAAAGTTGCAGGCAATTTTGTTAATAAATTTAATTATCATAATTTAGCTTGTGGCGTACAATAATTATACATGTAACTCTATATATGACCCTTGCAGTCTGTCTCTCAAGACTTTTATCATACATTTTTGTTGAAATTTGTGCCAATTTTACTCATAAGTGAATTAGTCTGTGAGAAGAGAAGGTTCTATTATTTAACAGGTTTTTCAGAGTAAATTTCCTTGGAAAGAAATTACAAAAGAACATTTGGCATTACTAAATGCATTCTGTGGATTTCACAATGGTATACTAGCTCTATGTTTGGACGTTCAGTTTTGGTTTTTTAGAAAATTTACTCACTGTGTGCTGCGATATTCTAAACAGAGAATATAATGCACATCTAATTGCTTCATCAGCTCTTATTTTTCCCACTTCTTTTTCAATAGATAACCATACAATCTGCTACGGTCTCGTTGATCTGTTTTTTAAGTAAGAAAATATTGCTGTTAAGAATCTACCGTCAAATATTCCATCACAGCTTTTGTATTGTATCGCTTGTGGTGCTTAAACTTTACATGCTTTGTCCAAACAGAAATGGTAAAGTTGAAATAGCCTATTCACATCACCACTCTTAGTTGATAGAGCGCTGGTACGAAGGCATTGTTAAATTATTTTTCACCAACTGTGAAACCTGTAAGAAGGATAAAATTATAATTCAGGGATGAATTTAAAAAGAAAATAGGAGCCTGCATTGAGTAATAGAAGTACGTGATTACTTAATCTTCCCGCGCTTTCTTTTTAGCCAAATCAGACACCTAACGGCCGCTTTTTCATTTCTTGATGAAGAATTAAAAAAGTGGCTGTTGGATGTCAGATTGGCTGAAAAATAGCGCGGGAAGATCAGGTGGTCTCTTCTACTATTCAATGTAGGTCTTCACACTCTCTTTGGACCAATTCTGAGGAGCGAACAATGGAAAATCAGGAGACTCCCGAAATTCCTCTTCGCATTAGGAGTTGTTCATAGAAACTTTCATACTTGCATAAGGTATATCTTCTCTTTCTGGACAAGATTTCTGCTCCAATTGAAAAACTAAAAATTCTCCTCACAAGCCACATCACAACTATCCTTGTTATCGCCATTCGTGTTATCTGAGTTATCAATATTCTGTTGATTGGTTGAAACAATGAGATATTTCATGTTTGTTATGTGATTATGTCTGTTTATACTTAATATACTCATTCCTGTCATTGTTTCTTGTTGTGTCGGACTCAATTTATTCTCACTTCTCTTGGTTGAATAAATGTATCCATGGATGTCCTAAGATTTATTTTGTTCCACTTTTTAAAACATTTCCACAAATGTCCACTACTGATCAGAGCCCTTTTCAGATGAGTTTTTGTCTTTCACTCTATGCACAGAGGGAATGCACCCTAACCTGCGCAAACAGCAAAAGAGAAAAAGTAATCTGAAATGAGCTTTACCTCAGTTTACCCTCCCGATTTTTTAATCATTTCTCTAAGCCATTATACTATGCCCTTCATTTTGCAAAACTTAATTTGAATGGAACAATTGGACCGCGTTAAACAGAAAGGAACCAAGCCACATCAGCCATTGCCAAATTTAATTGGGCAATTTAATTTTATACATGAAAACGGTTGAGCGGATTTTTCTGCAAATTTCGGTAAATTTTCTCCATAATACAAGGCTAATTCCTTGGAATGTTCAAAGGAATCCGCACAATCGTTCTCTCTTAAAAAATTAAATTGCCCAGTTAAATTTGGCAATAGCTGATGTGGCTTGGTTCCTTTCTGTTAAACACGGTCCAATTTCGACTGTAGGTACATGAGGGCGTAAATCCATCAGAGCATTCAAAATTCCATTCATTGCAGCATCATTCCATCATTCCAAAGGGAGCAAAAACCGTCTTGAGTTTTACACTCATACGCTGTAAAATTGAATTGTAAACAGAAACTTTCCCTGAAAATCCCAGTAGCATGTTATCCCCATGGGGAGCGCTGAGGACTTTCTGAAGATCAAAGGATATAGGTACATAGTGACCTTGCTCCACTGACAAGACAAGAAATAGTCTGGTCTCTTTCGAAAATTTTGGCGCATCTAGTGACCTCTAATCGATGCTATGTGTAGCCATTTCTGCTCTTTTAATATTTTCCTCACCTAAATCCAACACTCTAGTACATTTTTCACACTTGTCTTTTTTGGGTACATGACATCTGAAATTAAATTGACTAAAAGCGTTGCGGAAAACCCTACCTGAAATAGGTATTCTATCATTTTTGATACAATTTAATTTATACAACCTATACAAATTGGTAATGTTTCCAATATCTGATGGCAGCTAGAGATTTTTTACGTTTTTTCTACAGTAATGTGATGACACTGCCGGAATACTGTCAATGAATTGTTTGGCGTACCTAATCCGATCAGTTTCAGCTTTGTTGGGAGGTGTATGTTTACCTCTGGCATCGGTTTTGGCGTGATTGCCAGTGGAACTTGTGTTCAGAGCGTGGCGGAAGGCCATTAAGCTGACATCTAAGGGGGCTCATAAAAATTTAAGACAAACAATTTTAAGACGATTAATGTTTAATTTATATTCTGTATTAAAGGAGTGGCTTGACTCACCACCCTTCTTTCTATGCCTTTTCACAGGGACCTGCTTCGTACAACTTAACAACCGATTCTTCTTTGAGTTATAGTCTTTGAGACCGTGGTATTCAACAAAAATTATTTTCCTATCCTCTTCAAGAATGCTTTTACAATTTTTATGACAGGAAGTATTATCACAGCACGGATTTGGTTTCATTCATTTTTGGACCCTGCATCTGCGGACATTTTTTTCATTTGTCTTTCATTATTTTTTTTAATTTAGGAGAGTCAATTTGAACAGAATTTTGGGACGATTAAGGAGAAGTTTGTAAAATAGAAGAACTAGGTTTGGTAGGCTCAACAACAGGGTCTTGTAAAATCGAGTCTTGTAGAGTCAGACTAGAAGAAGTAGGTTCGGTAAGATCAACAACTGGATCTTGAAGAATTGAGTCTTGTAGAGGCAGAACAGAAGAACTAGTTTTGTTAAGTTCAACAACTGGATCTTGAAATTAAGGTGGATCTTGCGGAAAATTTTGAACCGAAGAAGAATCAGAGGTCTCCACAAGAATACAGGTGTAATTACCATCAGGTACATGATCCATAACGTTGAAGTCAAAGCTGATTGGCACTCCACTAGCCAACAATGCTTCCCAATTTATTTGGGAATTCAAATTTTCTTTGCCCATCTGGAACATGCAGAAATAGAAATAGTTAGAATTGATGAGAAACTTTTGAATTGAAATTGAATAAAAGCTGAATTCTGAAATGTACTGCTTTAATTGCAGAATCAATCAAATCATTGGGGCCTATCACATTGATTTTTTCCAGCTTGTACTGATACAGGGACAAGATGCACTTGCCAATCGTTCAAAGCTAGAGGGAGTACGTCGTAGATGGCTACAAGCCTCGATCAATAGGATGCATTGAGAGCTCTGGGGGGTACAAATTTCTGGAACGGTATAACCACACCATTTTGGATCTTTTGGTGTTACTCTCCTTTTTGCTGGCCCTTGCAGAGATCCCTATAGTTAGATAAAAAAAGTACTTTCCTGTTATAATTCCGTAAAACTAGGCTAATGATTAAATAAAAAAATTGTAATAGAAAAATTCTCCTTTAACCCAGCAATATTTTCTTTTTAAGTAAACATGTACACTTCAAAATACTGTATCTAGGATTGCTTTGAGGGCTGTAATTGAATCAGTGAGGATGAAAAAATGCCAACTTAGAAAAATGTCAATGTTCAGGGGACTCATTAAACTGCACAGGAGCGCATCCATGCGTATTTACAGTGCATCAATTGCAATTTAGCGTTTTGAGTGTCTTTCCATACACCTTTTTTGGCACTAAAAGCTTTATTACACTGACCATTTCACATACTGTGCAGTTTTTGGCGTCTCCTGAACATTTTAATTTTTCCCAGTTTTTATTCTCACTGCTTTAAATAGAAGTGTTCTATCCCTGTCAGTGCACTATGGTCTGGGAGCGCCGAATTGTGGCCATAAATCAGGAAATGATCAGAATATCATGAAATTTGGTGACCTTATGTTTTTTGGGTCGCTGAATTCAAATTTGACCTTACTTTTACTAAATTTTTAAATCCAAGATGGCGGCAGGCCCTTGGAACCAAAATATTCGAAGAAAATCCAAACTATGATAAAAAGACCATATTTATTGCTAGTTTAATGTTTTGAAGGTCGCCTAAATATATTTTGAAATTAATTTTGCAATGATCACGAGTTTAAAGAGGTAAAAGTCCCAAGAATACATATTTTTTCCAGAAAAATAAGAGGAGAAGAAATGATCGTATTTGAATCAAGTCAGCACTATGTTTCTTGATCTATTGATGCTGACTGGAGCGTAAGTTAAAACAATTGCACACTCAATATGGTAGTATTGGTGTTAGCAAGATATATGATATTACGGCTACAGGGTGCTCCCTCCCCGAACCAAAAATTGTCCCTTAAAATGTTCATTTTTAACGATTTTTCTTTTTAAGAAAAATTTCTCTTTGATCGTCAAACCCTACTACAAAATTTTTTTAGGTATACTCTATACTACTTAGACATTAAAAGCCCTGAAGCTTTTGTACTACTTTGAAGCAGCCAAAGTGCATACCATTCTGCGCTGATATTTATGGTTAAAATTATTATAAAGATTCTGGGTAGGAAAATTGACGTGGACTATTCTATGAAATAAATACAGGCAAACGGAAAAGTACGTCATTAATAGAAAGATAATGTAATGAAGACATAATTAGACATGTACACACATTCATAAAAAGGAGCAAAAAGTAAACATCTTCACAAAATAAATTGAAACACTTTTAAAAAGGAACAATAAATGACGAAAATTGACCAGAAAAAAACAAGAATGACATCTTTCACATGATAGACCCAAACTTTAACATTAGGTAGGTATACTCATTGATAGAAAAACGATGGGTTTTAAAAAAATGCATCAGTGGCATACACAAAACATCTGACATAAGAAACAAAACTGAGACCTTTTACATTAGAAAAATTAATTACAAGTTTTAACAATAATTAAAATAAATTGACTAGAAAAAATAGGAAAGAAGTCTTCCACAAAATACACACAAAAAATATATATCATCCATCATTAAAAAAGCAAAGGATCAATCAGGAACAAACAAGAAATGGCAAAAGGAAAGTACATGAATTTCAAAAAAAAAATTTAGAAATTGCAAAATGAACGAGTTGAGAAAAATACTTACAAGTTAAATTAAAATTGATCGAATAAATTGACTAGATAAAAAGGAAAATGAAATCTTCTGTTTGCACATTAAAGAGCGATAGAAAACATAATAGAATTAAAAAATCGCCTGTGTCATATTGACATCAGTTTATCCAAATTCAGCAGCAGAAGATGTTGGAAAGCCCTGAAAATCACAAAATTAAAGGCACAAATTAGGAATATATTGCAATTGCAAAATCTTCTTACTCGAGATAGAGCCGAAATGGCACACATACTAAAGAGTGAACAAGACTTTTTTCATAAAATATAACAAAAAATTTCTACAAATCTCACAAAGAAATAACGATGAGATCTCCATAAAAACATTTTTCAGAAAGCTGGAGAACATATTTGACACATCAGAATTGACTAGAAACAAAACAACAAAAATAAGGTTCATTGGAAGAAAATAAATCACAGGAAACATACAGTTTATCACATTTTACGATTTAAGAAAAAATCCTGAAAAATTGGATATTATTGACACATGTAAAAGATTTAAATCAGAAACTTAGATACACTTCACTCCACCTCCTCAGCATCGAGTTCGATGTCGTCCCTAAGTTCCAGATCCAGATCTTCGAGTAGAGTTTCAGAGTCTGAAGCTGCCTCTGTTTCTGAAACTGTCAAATCGATTTGGGGCTCTTGTAAAAGAGCATGGAGCGCTTTTGGAAACGGTTTGTGACGCCTCTTTTTCATCCGTTCACCTAGGCCAAAGGATGACAAGAGAGGATCCGAGGACTCCATAGCACGATTAAAAACATCAGCAAGATTATGTGTTCTCATATCTTTTCTCAAATGATGCTCTCTGTCATTTCTGTACAATTTATTCCTGGACTCAGGCGCATCTTCTCCAAAAAATCCCAGAGGTAGATTTGAATTTTGCATTATTTGACTGCCGTGAACGAGGATTTTGTGGAGGGTTGCAGTCATTGGCTTATCAGGGAATAACTGCATGTAAAGTCTACCAGTTTCATGACAATATTCCTTGAAAAGCTCAATATTTAGAGGCAATTTGCAGGAGATGGCTATCAAGATGGTTTGCAGGCGCTCTATTGACCGAACATCGATGTTGGTTATTTCGGAAAATAGTTCGGGATCGCTGAATGCTTTTCGGGCTGTGTTGCCTGAGTTGGTGTTACCTGATCCTCCACTTTTGGGAATATCCACTCTGAGGCTCATTTTCTCCCAAAAAAGGCTCTGAATTCTCTTCTTGTTCAGTGCATACGCTTTTTTCTGGTCATCTGACTTCATCTGCCACCCGGCTATCCCATCTTTGTAGCCTAGATGGAGGATGCATTCAAACAACCGGATCCAAGCATGCAAAGAACTAATGCCGAACTCAAGGGAGCTTTCACGAGGCTTAAACTTTGGAGAGTCAAAATCCTTGATGTCTCTAAAATCGATAGGGTTGGCACCACAAATAGGACACGTTTGCGTTGATAACGTGTCGTCAAATAATTAAGAATTTTGCCATCGACTAAGGTCATTTTCAGACGAGGCTGAATAACAAGGCTTTGATCATCATTAATTTTAATTGTGACCCTCTCGAGACTCCCGATTTGCTCATCCAACTCCTCTTTTTCTGCCATCACCAACTCCTTTGAAGCCTTAGCAAATTGGAGTTTTATGGGTCTACAGAATCTGACAGATTGTGGTGTCCTATTGACCCATAAAATATCCCCCGAATCCGCAGTCAATCGAAGAGGCACTAAGGTAGTGGCAAATAAAGAGGAGTCCGATCCACTAGAGCTTTCATGAGAACTTTGGAATTTTTGGCAGTAAGTGGACTGACTGGTGGTGCCATCAAAACCATACCTAAATGTCATCTCGGCGTTGACCTCCTTACAATCTTTACACTTTCCCTCAAAAAATGTTTCCAGGACTTCAGATTGTAACAAAGCGATTCGTCTGATTGTATGGTCCACCAAACAAAAGAGTGGAACTTGCGCACACGTGTCTGAAACTTCTAATGGAGAAACCTGACAGTCTTTTTTGGCCTCCAAAATATATTCATAGGGTGGATATATGTCAGCGTTGTAATATTTGCTATTTAACCTTATGTTCATATATTGGGCTTTACTAAAAGAGTTCTCCAACATGAACGCTAAGGCAGCCTCTTTTGTCATACGCAAAGGCATTTTCTCCTCCTGTTCCAGCTGCTCTTTTGCTCGTGTTGGACTTTTCGAGACTTTCTGCAAAACAACTGCTAGGTCGGACTTACCAGTTGTTTTAGCCGCAACGATTGAAGCACGGACAAGCTTCTCAGAATTATGATGTTCATTCTCTTAAAGTTGAGAGATGGCTCTTCGTTGGGTTCTTGGTTTCATCTCATCAAACTTTTTTAGGGGCCGCCCTCTGCTGCGAGATGTTGACGGTTCTGGATCTTCTCCCGGGTTTTTTTCCTCACTTCTGAGCTCGTATGTCCCTTGCAACCACTTGGATAGATCTGTTTTTGCTCTGAAATTCAACGTTGATTTCTTTCGAGGTGATTCTTTGAATGAGTCAGAAATAGTGGTTATCTATATTACAAATGTGTGATTTAACTTCGAGTAAACCATTTTCCATGACCAACACTAAAGCGGGATCCATTAAGTTAAGTTGAAGGTTAAACATATTTTGGGTGGACATTTGTCGCAAAAGTGTTGTACAAACTATTAAAAGATGCACAACTATTGCAGTTACTATACCTGATTTTCTTCTGCTTCTGAGGTGACACGATCTGTATTACTAGAAAAAACGTGACTTATGAGACCATTCAATTTCTGTCCTTTGGAGCACTCCTTCCATTTTTCAAAAAGCGTTTCACGCGTTACGTGAAAAACTCCTGAAAAGAAAATTTAATATAAATAATTTGTAAAATTTTGAGACAGTATATTAATCAGAAATGCGGTATAGTAGATGATAAAATTTAAATGAAGTCGTTACTTGATTGCGAAATTACACATGAATGAGATATCTTTATTCCTAGAGAATTTTTCTTTAATTTATTATTATTTTCTTTTTTATTATATTTATTCATTTATTTATTTTTTTTTCGTTTCTATTTTTTTCTAGTGCCCTCGGGAACTAGCGCGTGCTTGAATCCCCTTCTTTTGTCAACTTTCACTCAATGATCTGATCAGACCCTAAAACTTTGCGGATTACCATTCTCGGGTTGCCTAGCCAGGAATTGAACTCGGAACCTTTTGATCTTAAAGCCAGCACTACAACCACTACACCACAGCGGGCCGAGTTAATAAATTTGTATTATGTATACAGGCTGAAGAATAAAAAAAAAATACCTAAGTTTTAGCCACCATTTGTCGTTTTTCCGGAGAAAATATTATTTTGCTTAAAAATGAGGTTTTTTGCAAAAAAAAACTTTATTTCCCGGAAATCTGGCAAGTGCTGAAAAAAACTGTTATCATTTTTGGATTCAGCAGCCAAAAATACATATGAATCACCTTATATCAAACGTTGACCTTGTCTCGTCTCTCTTATATCCTTCTGCAATGAAATCAGATCGTGCAGAAAGTCGTTTAAGTCCTTCACTAAAATGACCAAAAAAGGCCCCAGAGGCAAAAAGCGGCAAAAAAACCTATGATATCCTGTTAGAGGAACATATGAGCTACATTCTTGCACTGATAAGAACGTGTTAGCTTGTGTTAGTGATAACTAAAACTTAAGATGAAGGCAATTTTTTACCTAAATCAGGACAAAACTTTGGAGTCTCATGGTGGTCATAAAATCAATCTTAATACTAAAAACGATTAAACCATCAAAAAGTACTTACTTTCACCTTTCTTTTCCATATTTGATCGGGGATCTACGCCAACTTATCACAAAGCAACACAAGGCAATACACGATGACGTGCACTTTAAATTCTCACGTTTGTTTACTTACCTCGGAGGATGTGAGGTTCGCCACCATATATCTGATCGTAAAAACAATTACATAAGATTTGATAGGTCATTTCACACCTACTAAAGGATGTAGATAAGGATTAAATGCTCGATTGACAGATTTTCGTACTTTCAAAAATCGGATTTTTGACCACGATTCGGCGCTCCCAGACCATAGTGCAGTGTATTACTGTCCTTTTTGGACAGTGCAGATTGCAAGTTCTTGCATTGACTCTTCGTTGGATGGACTGGGTGGTGGTGGAAGTCGAAAATAGGAAGTGCTTCATACAAACGTCAGTCAGTATCTAATGTACTCAAACACACTGTGGCTTGGCTTTTTAAGACTCAATAAATGATTGCCATATTCAAAACTGTAGTCAGATGCAAACTAAGTGTAAATGACGAAAAAATTAAGGTTTTTAGCTTGCCATGAGAGAGGAGAATCATTCTTCTCCTTTGAAATATTCAATCTATTAGGAATGACATCGCACTTTAATACATATTTCGACTCTACCTGTATACACATCAAATAAACCCTAACTTCACTTTCCAGGCTCTGCAGGCCACTGGAAACTTGGTAAAGATTATAAAATATAGGTACAAGACCAAGAACTCGCCTCTTTTCAACTGGATGTTCTGGGTCAGTATTTGAACAGTCCTCGGACAACTGGCTGAGTTAAAGGCAGATCAGTCTTCAAAAAATAGAAACCGCAGTAAGCGAGTTAGGGATGCTATAGCCGCCGACACTTGTAAGCACTATGTAGAGGAATTACCACCTTGAACATGACCAAGAACTGCTTGTGTTGGATTTCGCGTTATAGAGAAAATCCAATGAAACCTCCTGAAAAATAAAACAATGAAAATTTCAAGCTGGAAGAATACAGTACAGTAGTAAAAGTTAATAAGGTTAATAAGTTGCCTACCACAATGTTTTAGGTACATAGAGATGGTGAAACTGCAAAAAGCGTAAATCAGTTGTACCTATTGCTTCAAAAATTTCTGCTCCTATTTTATTTCTTTAAGAAGGTACCGAACCAACATTGTGGTTTAAAATTCTCAAAGAAAATCCTTCGAAAAGAGCAAAAGATCACTGAAGTTTTAAAAAAAATGACTGAATAACTGTAAATATTAGCTAGACCACGAGTTCAGAACCTCAAGTTTCCTGACTTTTCTAAACCAGCATTGATTCCTTGACTTTTGAAGGTTTTGCAGCTCATCAGAAACCCTTTAAAGATTACGAAATACATATACAAGAGCAATTATTCACCACTTTCTGACTAGATGTTTAGTGCCAGTACTTTCACAGTCCTCTAACGACAGGTTCAGTAAGGTTGGATCCTCCTCCAAAAACTAGAAAGCACAATGAGGTAGTTGGGCATGGTATAACTGCCAATATTTAGCTTTATGTACAGGAATTAGCTTATTGAACAAAAACGCTTGTGTTCTACTTTGAGTGGCAGGGGAAACCCAATATAATGATGTCAGCTGAAAACCAAAACAATATGAATTTCAAGTGGGATAAATACAGCAGATTACTGCTGTGGTAAAGAGGAACTCCTTATGAGCATTTATGTGTTGTCTGATCTATCTTAATAAAAGCAATACTTTTAAGAGAAATTCGTTAACATACTCCTTCCAATTTTTAGAGAAGATGATTCGCAATTTTTGAAAAAATTATTGGTTGCATAGAAAATTTCGAGGGAAAAAAATTCCATTATTACCTCAAAAATTACTTCTTGATTGGGAGAGATTTGGTAAAGTGTGAATGTTCATACAGCGTCTATCCTTAACATAGCAGAGTAGGTTGTTACTGTTAACACATTCCTTGCTACAGTGTTTTGGTTGCGTGTCAAAAGTAAAAATGCAGTTGCGGTGTTTTAAAATCTCTGCCCCTATTATACATTTTGAAAGGAGACGCAACCAACACTGGCTTGAACTTCTCCCAGAATATTCTTTTCATAGAGCAGAAAAATGTAATTCAGTTTTACGAATGAGCTGTGTACATAATAGATGGACTTAAAGATCACAATCTTTAGTTCCTTGACTGTCCAGGCTCCCCATAAAGTCTCTGACTTTCCATGTTCCACAAACCACCAGAAACCCTGTTATAATAGTTCATAGAAACATGTACAAGTTCAATAACTCACTTCTTTACAACTCGACGTTTTGGAACAGCATTTCATGAGTCCTCTGATGACAAACTAAAGTTTAGCTTGGAGGCTCCTCCAAAAAGTGGACGACATAGGAAAAAACTTAGGCATGGTACAACTGCAGACACAGGTAGGTCCGCATATTCAGACAGCCGTCCAAGAAAAGGTTTTCTGAAAAAGAAAAAAAAGAAAAAAATAAAACTGTAAAAAAAATTATGCATATTTGGCTCACATTTTTATCACTTATTATATATGTTAGCGTTAAAGTATGTAATCCGTTAATGTATACACTAACTAGTTAAAGTATACATTAACTGAAACGGCCAGTTAAAGTGTAGAATTTTTGTGGGTTGCACACTTCAACTAGTTATTCTATAGAATAACGGGCGGCTCACAGGTAAAGTGTGAAAGTCACAATTGAATCAAGTCAAAGTATCAAAACAAAAACAAACAGCTATTCATGATGCACGAACTGAATGTCCGTTATAAAAACATTACTCAAGCCCAAGTTAAGATTTTTTGGACTTTAGTGAAACTTGTCAGGTAAAGGAGCATGTCATGAAAAGGGGCATTGTTGTAAAACCTATAATTTTTCCCCGCATAAATAGTCCCTGTCAACTAGATTTGATTGATTTGCAGTCGCAGCCCGATGGTGAATTCAAGTTTATTTTAAATTATCAAGACTATCTTTCGAAATTCGTCAGTTTGCGAGCTTTAAAGACAAAAACAGCAGATGAGGTTGCGTACAACTTGCTATACATTTCCACGATTTTTGGAGCCCCAGCAGTATCACAGTCGGACAACAGCCGGGAAATTTGCAATTCAGTGATAGAGTGTCTGAGGGAAATGTGGGCTGAATTAAAAATTGTGCACGGTAAACCGAGACATAATCAGGGTCAAGGGAGTGTAGAGAGGGCAAATCAAGACGTCGAGAATATGGTCTTTGCATGGTGTAAAGACAACGGAACAACGAAATGGAGTCAAGGTCTGAGATTTGTCCAATTTCAAAAAAACAGGGCCTTCCATTCGGGTATCAAAAGGAGCCCTTTTGAGGCGATGTTTGGATGTCTTCCGAAAGTGGGGCTCAAAGATTCCTCCCTTTTTATACTTTAACTGACATGTCTCAGTTAATCTATGAATTAACTATTTATTCTATGAAATAACTAGTTAATGTGTGTAATAAAAATTTAATTACACACTTTAACTGGCTGCTTCAGTTAATGTATACAGGGTGTTTCAGACCACCCGTACCAGGCCTTTTTCTCGGTTGGTTTAGGTCGTACGAAGTCGAAGACCGCGGGGTTGAATAGGGAATTGACCCCAAGGAATCCGAATTTCGTGGTCCCGAAACCCCCCCACTCCTCCTTGGGGGGTAAAGGGGGGGTCACGATGCTAAAAGTCACGGTTCCCGACCGAATTGCGGATAGATCGCATCAGAATTGAAAAGCACGGAAAATTTCACGTGGAATTGACCCCTAAAAATCCAAAATC